GGGATGAGCAGATAGAGGGATGAGCAGATAGAGGGATGAGCCGGCGCTGGAACGGGGACTGGTTACCTTCTCTGGTGTCGGCCATTTTGGCTCCAGCTCCTCCTTATAGAGAGTCCTGCGCAGGACCCACCCCAGGCCCGGCATTGTCTCCACGCGGTAGACGAGCGACGGATCCTCGGCGGTGTGTTCATAGCCCTGTGTGGGGATCAGGCAGAGAAATGAGGGAGTGCCGACCCCCAAAGAGGAACCTCGGGGGGCCAATCAGCCGCGGTCTGGACGCGTTTCACATCAGCAGATGATTCATCAGCGGCGGCAGCATGGAGTGTGTCACATGATGCGTGCGCCGTGCATGTGTGCCGATATACGTCACTGTTCACCAAGATGGACGCCGGCAAAGAGAGGCGGGGACATTGACCTGGTGGGATCAGTGATGTCACCGTGTCCCCCTTGCCAGGTGCCGGTGTCGGGCTATTGGTCCATGACTAAGTGCTGGACTGCGGGGGTGACACCAAAATGACGGTCCGTCATTGTGGTGTCACCCGGTACGGGCCGCCCCCTCCCCCCGTGATGTATGATCATTATAGAATGTAGCGTGTCCGGTAATATCACAATGCTGTGTGGGGGAGGAGACACCCGCTGTGTGGGGGAGGGGACACCCGCTGTGTGGGGGAGGGGACACCCGCTGTGTGGGGGAGGGGACACCCGCTGTGTGGGGGCGGGGACACTCACCTGATCGTTCCACGCAGAGATACAATACAAACTCTCATCCTCCTCCAGGAGATGGACCGTCTGACTCAGGAAACTGCGGACACATGACACATACGTGTAACCCTCCACTCCCAATATACATACCTAACACATGAACATACGTGTAACCCTCCACTCCCAATATACATACCCAACACATGAACATACGTGTAACCCTCCACTCCCAATATACATACCTAACACATGAACATACGTGTAACCCTCCATTCCCAATATACATACCTAACACATGAACATACATGTAATCCTCCACTTACAACATATATTCCTAAAACATGAACATACGTGTAACCCTCCACTCCCAATATAGATACTCAACACATGAACATACGTGTAACCCTCCACTCCCAATATACATACCCAACACATGAACATACGTGTAACCCTCCACTCCCAGTATACATACCTAACACATGAACATACGTGTAACCCTCCACTCCCAATATACATACCTAACACATGAACATACGTGTAACCCTCCACTCCAATATACACATGTAACACATGAACATACGTGTAACCCTCCACTCCCAGTATACATACCTAACACATGAACATACATGTAACCCTCCACTCCCAATATACATACCCAACACATGAACATACGTGTAACCTTCCACTCCCAGTATACATACCTAACACATGACCATACGTGTAACCCTCCACTCCCAGTATACATACCTAACACATGACCATACATGTAACCCTCCACTCCCAATATACATACCTAACACATGAACATACGTGTAACCCTCCACTCCCAATATACACATGTAACACATGAACATACGTGTAACCCTCCACTCCCAACATATATTCACATAACATGAACATACGTGTAACCCTTTACTCCCAACATATATTCAGATACATGAACATATATGTAAACTGTCCACTCCCAATACACACCTAAAACATGAACATACGTGTAAACTGTTCACTCCCAATACATATTCCTAAAACATGAACATACATGTAAACCCTTTAAAAACAAGATCAGAATCCACATATTCTGAATGGCTACTCCGTGTGCCGCACACAGGTGACCAATGCCACGCTCCGACATGCAGACTGACACGCCAGCCGTCACCCACCTGAAGAAATCCACCGAGATGTCCAAATCTTCCTCCAGAACGACGGCAAACTTGGCGTCCTAACAACCAGAAAGAGGTCATATCAGCTACATGTCCCGCAAGATCCTGGCGTGTATGGTGCATGTTCTGCTCTGTTCTCCCCTGTGCGTGTCTCGTACAGACAAGGACCAAAACCTCACATCTGTCTATAGTGTGTAAGACGCAACATACGTGTCATGTAATAACATGATGTGAGTTCGGGGTGAGGACGGCACACGCTAAGTGCTGCAGAAATGGATTCATTCCCCGGATACCAGAGAACGGCAGCTTATGGGGCCACGTGTGTCAGAATACATATTACAGGAGCCCGGTGTCCCCTCACACTCCGTGTTCTCATATTTTATACATATGTATTCTGATATCATTTCATTCTACTCCCGTGTGTGTGTCTTGTATGTTCTCCCCTGTGTGTGTCTTGTATGTTCTCCCCTGTGTGTGTCTTGTATGTTCTCCCCTGTGTGTGTCTTGTATGTTCTCCCCTGTGTGTGTCTTGTATGTTCTCCCCTGTGTGTGTCTTGTATGTTCTCCCCTGTGTGTGT